CTGCTACTGGTCAGGCTGTCGGGGTGTCCATATGTCCGTCTAGGTATACGTCTCCATTACATCACCTTCGGTGGTTGGCCATCATTGTCTTGTCTTTGGGCTTGTTAGAGTGCTGGGCATCTTAGACAGCGATTAGCAGCTGGCGCCAGGCAGAATGTCTAATTGAGTGCCGAGGTGCATTTAGAATGGCCAGAGAGCATATCCAAGGGTCCGGTTCCGTATAAACCGATCAGAGTCCATCCAGTTCCAGCTCCACGCCCGTCATAAACGGCAATTAGCAGAGACAAAATGGCAAATTGGGTCAGGGGGCTGCTAATTGCCATAAATATGAATAAAAGCCCCCAGTGTTTGCCATTTAATTAACATTTCGAACACGTTTTTGGACCGACAACGTGTTATACAAATCCGAATTAGCATATTCACGCCGAGAAATTGCATAAAAAGGCCAAAACAGAAATAGCCAACTGGTGTGTTTGGCTTTTTGCCGGCGACCACGACAAGTTCAAGTTCAATGACACCAAACAATAATAGGGAAATACCAGCAGCAGCATACATAATATGAGCCATGATTATGGCATCCACATCTACTAGACTCTATAGCGATAGAGGTGTCTGTATCGTGAGGTATCGCCCTGAGAAATCTCGACTTGTATTGTATTACGTATTATATGGCCCAGCTCAGCCGGCGTTTTGCTCTACTAAACATCAAGATATTCATTTGCATTTGCATTTCCAACTGCCATTGTGGGTTTCTCCGAGTCCAAGTCAAATAGAAATTACAGCAATCATTGGAAACCATTTCATTGTCAAGGTGAAAGGGGCATTCAGATACTCCGACTCCCCGAGTCGAGGCGTTAATAGCCAAATTGTGTAATTGCAATTGTAATTCCATTTGGTTTGGGGTTTGGGGTTTGGGATTTGGTTTTTGCTTTTTCGATGGGGATTACGATCTGGAAACGTTACCGTTACACTTCAAATTGCCGGCAGTTAACCGCAAGCCTATTTACTTAAATGAAATTAGCCCCCGACCTTGTCGCAGGAAGTCGGGAATTTACTGCTGATAAAATCAGAAAGAGCTGCCTGCCTGCCACTCTGCTTACTGCCGCCTGCCTTCCAAGTTTCCGAGTTTTCAAGTTTCCGAGCTTCCAAGTTTCCGCCTCCGATTCTGGTTCACACGGTGCTCTTCTCGACTTCTGGCCATTTAATTGGAGAATCAAGTGCAGCGGCGAAGCACTCGCAACATGGAACTTGGAGATTGGAGCTCTTTGGAACCCTTTGGCGGCCTGGTCATTGCCCTCGCCCCCTCAAAAATATGCGGGAATTGCGTGGGTCGGATCAGCGCTAACTAAGTGGCTCTGTGTTCGGGCATTTAAGCCGTACAAATGCGTCTTTTATGAGTGTCTCGAGCCCATGGTCAATTTATCATATCAACTCGGAGACCGACTTGGCAGGCACACAGAGGGAAAAGTTGAGGTTCGGAGGAAAGTATCTGATTAAAATAATGATAACATATATGATATATGATGTTACCATTACTATACTGAACAATATAGAACATTTTTAGAATCTATTATGTTTTTCAAGAGACTAAAGTGAATTAGAGCAAATCATTTGTTAAACAGTTAAGAACCAGTTAAGATGGAAGTCTATATTGGTCTTAAATTATTTTTTTTCAGTGCACCGCATCCATCACAGCTTAGATTTGACTTTACACCGCCTGCGATTTTGACAAATAGTTTGACATCTGGGGGAGGTTCTACGTTGGTGGGCCGACCAAAGCAAAATGACATGAAAGGAAAGTCGTCTGGGGCGCTTAGCATAAATATAAATGCTTATTTATGGAGAAGAGCCGATAGAAGTTGGGGAGTCCATGGGCGGGAGCCTCTAATTGTGTCACTGTCGAAAGTTTCTCCGCCCCCCATTGGCGAATCTCACGTTTGGCTGTCGACGGTAGTCTTGAGATCGAGGATTGGGTATTGGCTATTGGGGATCCCATATCCCAAATCCCAGACAGACCCGTTCTTGGGGTTCGTGCGGGTTGGCCCGCAAGTTCGTGATCTCCGGCTTGCGTACTTGTTCTCTAAGTGGCTACGAAATTCCACAGCCACGCAGCCAACACATCTTCGGCATCGCCGTCATCGCCATCATAGCCATATCGGTCAATGGTCAGCGACTTTGGCCGGTTTTTTGTTTGCTGGGCAAATAGCAAACAGCTTGGACTTGGACATTGTGTGGAATGGCAGGGAGTTGGAGTTGGCCTACGGGGTGTTTGCATATATGAAATATTTACGAGGAGGTGGAGTAGGAAGAAGAACTGTGGGTAAACCGTTGGCATGGAGTATGGTATGGTATATGGTATACCATGAGGTGCTATCAACACGATAAGACCGATAAGCCGGCTGGATCCGCCTTTCCACTTGACATTGAACCTGGTATACGGTCCGTGGTCCACGGTCCATGGTCCGTGGCAGAAATGTTAATTATATGCGCGTGGCTAAGCCGATGACTGGATCTTGATTAACGCTTATGCTCGAGGGCCTGATGATGATGACGATGCTGCTGATGACATCAGCGGGTCGTGCAATTAATATGAAACCATAATGATGAACCAGGTACCAGTTACCAGTTACCAGTACCTGATCCCCGTTTCTTGGAGCCTGGCTAGCCAGCTAGCCATCTAGAAGTTCTGATGGCCCCGGCTAATACAAGCTAATTAGGCACATCATCTTGGCGAGCATCATCGCATCAGGGCTCTCCATGAAAAGTTAGATGCTTCCGCAAAACAGCCATAAAGTTGGGGCCCGTAAAGCGGCGATTTATATGCGCAATAAACAAAAGTATTGAAGATCTTCGTGCGGCGCACTAATGCCTTTGTAATTGGTTATAAATTAAGAAATCACAAAAAACTGGCAATGGGCCACATAAAATATATTTGACTGGCGAAATCGGATAGCTGGTTGAGAGCTGGAGGATGGCCAAGGTTCAGTGACCATCATCGCGTAGGTGTCAATTGCCCAGGGAAAGGAGAATCTGGAAGATCACAAGTTCTGGAAATCTAAAGACGCCAAGAGCAGGTGTTCTTTCTTCCCCCCATCCGAAGATTGTTTAATAAGCATGAGAAAAAAAAAAGAAACGAACTCACGTTCGAAGTTGATTGATGAAAACGCCCCATCGAGGAAAAAAGCCAGAGCCAAATTGAAATTGCCATCCCGTCTTCGCTTCGTGGCTTATAAAAATAAAATAATGATAATGTGTGGCGGCTACCGGTTGGGAAGATGCTCAGTCGATCGTTTTTATCGACCTTGAGCTTGAATTAAGGCTCCAACTTGATGGCCAAATTGAAATTGCATAAGATAAGTTTGCATCGGCTTCTCAAAGCCCTCAAAACGATTTCGATATGTGGCTTGATGGCTGCGCAAACAATTGGCATGGATCGATGGGCAGATCTTTTGTTATGACGCAAATGCCACTTGTTGTGAAGTATGTGTATCTCAACGGGCAGTTAGATAGATACTCCATGTACAGTATCACATATCGCATATTGGATTGGATACCATCTGACATTTGCGCTAGTCCCATTGATTTATGGCTCGCAGCTGTCGGCGGCGGAGTTAGAACTTAGGAAATATGTATCTTGTTGAGTCATGCTCATATTTATAATGGAACAATTCAATTACCAGACCCTGCTGGGAAACTCTACTCACACCACGGAGTTCATCAAACCCAAAGAGTCCGCATCCGAGCATCCGAGTCCGAGTCCATTAGGCCGTTTTGTTGGCCCGGCTTGTTAGTGTTACCGATTTGTGACTGTGTGTAATAATCAATAAGTAGGTGAGAAACCCTGGCGGGGCAATCTATGTTTAAAACACCATGGGTTCTTACAGCTTTCCACTTCGTTCCACGTTCCTCGTTTCCTCGCCCATTCACAAAAAACCCAACGAAATTCTTTTCCACTTTATTTCCCTCTTTGTCAGAGATCCATTTCCATATGCACCTCGGCGGTTCGGACATGTGTTAATGAAAATTCCAAGAATTCTGAATGGTGAACGCCGAATGCCGAATGCATCGTGGAGCTGCGACTGTGGAGTACCAGTACCCAGTACCCAGTACCCACGGAATGTGGGTCAACGAGCTGACTATTGTCGCCTATCGTTTTGACTGGGCCAAATCAGTCAGTCAGTCAGTTCGGCCAGTCGTCAGTTTGCAGAGAGGAAACCCGGAGTATTGCCTGTTTATTGAAAGCCATGGCTAAAGCCCATTAAACAATGGCTCTGGCTCTGGGCCTTCTCCGGTTATGGACCGGATGATTGGTGGGTACCCTCGAGTGGCAGTAACTACGTTTCGGGTTTGGCATTCGTTGACCGATATTCTATTCTCTTCCCCTCTCCTATTTTTTTTTTTTTTTTTTCGGTTTATTTGACTCTAAGTTCTGTTTAAACAAGTCGTTAAATTGAACACGCCCAAGAACCAGGAAGACACCGTTGCATCGCCTTTTATTGCCGGGGTAAATGTGAAAGTTAACACATTTCTTGGGGTTTTTTTCGGGCAGATGAGGTCGATGCAGATGGGCCAGTTGACGGGTAATGATGGTCCAGGCCATTAGCACTTGCTTTTAATTATGAACGGCCTCTCCTCAGTCGATTTCAATTAAACATGATTGTATTTGGGACACCCCCGAAGAGCCGTTCCTAACTAGATTTTCGACCCCGAAATGCAACAGACTTTTGGGCTTGGTTCTTGCGGATGGTCAGTGGGTGGGTGGTTGACCCCTGACCCTGGACAAGTGAAAATGGCAGCTGTTGCCAGCTGATGGCAATTTGCCACAATGGCTTTAATTAGTGCGAAAATCCAAGGATTCGCCATGGATTTATGGCAATATAATCAAAAAAGATAGGACAGATGGGCGGATTGCAGGCAAAGTACTTCCCACTCAGTACTCAGTACTAAGTACTAATATTCCAGGATAAACATAATTTATGTTGACATAATAAACCACTTACCGGCTTGTGTGGGTATCAGGACCATGGCTAGAAGGACCAGAGCCAGATATAGCAGCTCCTCGAGTCCCGGCGGACTCGAACGTCTTCTTGTCATCTTGCGGTTGTAACTGCAATGGCAAAGGTTAAGGGATACGTGAGTTTAGTACGTGATAGAAAAAAAACAGGAAAGGACAAGGGTAGGGGTAAATAAGACATTCTTGCGGACAGCCCGTTTAACCCTTAAATAACAATCAAATCGGGCGGCAATATGTTCCTTAAACGACTGGCACTTCATTAAAAAAGCATGACAAGGCGCATGCCGCCAGGATTCCTTTTCTTTTGCCTCTATTTTTTGTTGGTTTTCAAAATTTTCAATGGCCTCACAAAAGCAATTTACGTGCACAAACAGCTGAAAGGAAGCTGAAATTTCGGGGCGGGTGGGAGAGTTGACATGTGAGCCACCAAAATACCAAAACCACCACTAGCACCACTGGCACCCCTACTCGAAATGTCCTGACTGGCTGTTTTTCTTCAATTGTTTGCGGAAGTCACTTGTTTGCCGATTTGACAGATGTGCAATTTTCCCTGACATGCCCGCTGTCCCGCCAACTCAACTCAACCCTCCGGCAACTTCCGCCTCTTTACTTTTTTTTTTCCAGAGGTCAGAAATCGTTGGTTCTTATATCTGTATCTCGAATATCTTGTATCCTGCCAAGTTGTTCGCCTGCTGATTGAAAATTTCAGGCGCATGCTAAAGAAAACTTCCAGAAATTGGACAACAAAACCCCCGAACTTTCCTGTATTTGATTTGATTTTTACCCCCTGGTCATCCGGTGATACCATATCCCATAGTTATAATTAGCAGGCGGCAACCACCACATATCACGGCTTATCGGTTGACAACTGGCCAACTAGGGATAGTGTCTACATATAGGTTTATTTTATTGTCGCCTCTATAATGGCATCGAATGGCCGGCAACACATACGCTTCATATTTTCATTTATTAGCCCAGTTTGCTTGTCGGCTTTTATTTGCTTTATGTTACTTTAATCAAGTCCCAGGAGATGCAACACGTGATTCCATCGAGGGGTTGCTCCCCCTAAGGTTTCTTGGTTTCTTTTTTGTTTCCTGAAGGTGAGGGGTGGAAGCTGAGTGCTCGTGTTTTGGGGGCGTGGCTGGGTGGTATGTTATCCAATTTTATACATTCCATAAAGCAATAAAACTTCCACCTAATCCAGCAAGGGAAGTGCCGGAAATGGGAGAGTGTGGAAATTAAGGCAGGGATTTTCAGCATATATTACTGTTTTACTACCTTTGGGTTTAACTAGGAATTTCTATTCTCACTGGGCATTTATATAGGGGAACTGGATGTAAATAAATTAATAAGGTATTTCTGAATTGAAGATAATTCAGAAATCACTTTATTACTTTAAAACCTCTTGAATCTCAAAATAGAAAAAGCTTTATCGATTAGATTAGCCGGAATACGATAGTATTTGGGTTCCGCTTCTTCGGGGGTCCTTGCCTACTTATCCCGCATCCCCATTCCGTTGAAATCCGAGTGGTTTCGGTTTCCCCCTGGCGGATTGCTAACGAAACGGGCAAATAAAAATCGGCTAATGCTCGACTCAGGCTGGGGCTCATCATAAATGCGCGAATTGTGCTCATTAAAATTCAGAGGAGGGGCAGGGGCTTCCCCGGGAGCCGCAAATAGCATTGCTGCGTGCCGTGGCAACAGCGAAAATAACAAGGGCATGCAACACACGAAGCCGCCTCGGTCAGGTTGAAAGATTGCTCCATGGAGTTGGGATGCTGTATACTATACTATGGATGATTCCGAGGCATCCTCATTTGAGAGGAGAAGAGTGGAGAACGTGGCTTGTTGATGACGAGTTGACATGACGAGCGACAATAACAATAATGATAATCTCACACTGCTGCGATGGTAAAGATGATGATGATGGTGATGATGATGATGATGACAATGATGATAATGGGGGGATTGTGATTCTGAGCCCGACTGACTGACAACGGAAGCGACACAAACTGGCTATTAGTTGCCGGCCAAAATGGCACTTGTTCTAAGGCTATTAGCAACACACGAGCAACATGTTGCTGCTTGGCAAGCAACTAGCAACTGGCAAACAGCAACTTGTTGCGGTAATTATTCCGCCGTGGCTAAATGGTAAACAATTTTTATTCTTTCGCATTTCTGCTGCTGCATTTCAGTATTTGGGTTAAGACCAAATAAAGGGGTGGTCACCAGGCAGCTGGCGTTGTGGCCATGTGTGTGACACAAATTCAATTTGTGAATGAAGTGGCCAAAAGCCAAGAGCTAAGAGATAGAAACTTTTACCCAAAACGAGGCAGGCGCTTGTTAACTTGGCCAACTTGGTCAGGGGCGTATATCGGTCATGGGAAATTTGCAAGATTTTTTTTTTATTTTTTTTTTGGGAAAATACTGGCAAGGGCAAGGCGAGCAATGCATCTTCATCCGAACCACAAACCAACAATGGAATGGCCATGTGCGTTATGAAAAATGTATTCAGGTTTCAGGTTACAGGTTTGGGTTGGAGTCCAGGCGAAGACTTGATGCGTGAAGAGATGCGGTACGTGCATCTATAGATTTGCATGGAGAACGCCTCCTTTTTGTGGGCCAGACCAGGTCGAAATGCCCACAAAGGGTAGCCAGCGGACAGGCTGGGAAGAGTTGCTTTTGCGCATGCGTGGAGTTTCAGTGGCAGTTGCAGTTCTCGTTCCCCATTTCTCATCTCTATCTCTTCGTACCCCTCCCTGCCCACGTAACCCCACAAATTGCAACCCAGCTGCAGCTGAACTCAGGCTCTAATATAAATGTGTGGCACTCGGAGCGCGGAAAGAAAGAAAATTTACATTTTACCAAGGCAGACAAGGCCTCTCAATGGAGGGTGGGAAAATTTCCCAGCCATCCATGGGCAGCATTTTGACAGTCGGGGCACGAAATGGAAATGGAAAAGCCTTCGTTAGCATATCAAAAGGTGTCTCTTGTCAGAGAGCTATCTTGTGTCGGCTGTCGTGTCCCATGTTCTGTGTCCCATGCCCCGTGTCTCCACGAGATTTGTACCATGACCCACAAATACACTTTGGCGCACGCATCTAACGACGACCCATCGACATCGACTAGATCCCAGCCAGAAGATCGATGGCAATTTGCAATTTGCAAGCTGAAAGCTGCAACTGTGCGGCCTGCAGCTTTAATTGGATTCTCTGCTGTGCTGTGAGCTGTGTGCTGTGCTGCCCGGTATCAAATTGACATTTAGCACACAGACTTTGGCTGCGAACCCGATCCGATCTGATCCTGAGATCCCCATTCCAAGACCAAGTCCAAGTCCAGGTCCCGTCAGAATGCCGCAGTTTTGACCCCAACCTCACGCGTCCATCTGGAGATGGTTCTCTCCATTCCGATCCCCAATCCCAATCCCCATTCCACCAAGCTTATCGCATTACACTTCTTCGATTGCAATTGCAATTGCTGTTGCTGTTGGCTGTTGGATGTTGCTGTTGCTGCAGTTGCAATTGCTGATTCTTGGCGTTAATTTGGTTTTGTGTTCTGCGATCGCCGCAGTGCCACACATTTAACGGTCCAGCAGCAGCAGCAATTGCAAATTGCATTTTTTGTTATTTTATTTTTATTTCACCAAGGCGGCTTTTGTTCTATGCACTGGGAAAAATATTATTATCATAAAATATGTGCTACACTTTTTCAACAAGATTCAGGAAATTCAAAATGGTCACCCTAAGAGAAAGAAATTATATATGGTATACAAAATCAGGGATATAATTCCAGTCAGTTCTTGGTAATAGAATAAAATACTACAGACAGTACATAAATGGAACTGCAAGTTAGAAATCTTTATATCCCAATCAAATTCCTTTAACTCGCTGTTTTTTTTGCAAGTGTGCTGACCTATTCTTTTGGTTGTGCACGTCATCCTCATAAATCTGATGTTGCTGCTGCAGATGTTGCTGTTGCAGATCTTGTTGCTGCTGCTGATGTTGCTGGTGGACCCTAACACGTGTGCCTATCGACTCTATCGCATAGTTGTGGCCAATTGCTGGCCAAATTGTTGCGGCTTAAGCCCAATTTGCAGTTGGCCTTTAGGAATGTTCGACCTTGCAATTGCATCAGGCATTTCGATGTCCGGTGATTTTGGTGCGACAATTACAGAAAGTGTGATAGTGGCGATAGAAATGAGGTTCAAATTGCCAGGTTGTTAGATGCAAATCATCGACCCCATGCAAATTTGCGCCTGGCCTTAGCCATCGATCGACCTTGTGGCACTTTCGGCACCATCTTCAGCGGCCAAATTGAAGGAGTTGGCTCGACTCGAGATTAATAAAGCGCACGATCTGCAAACATAACGGTGCCGAGTGGCAGTGGCAGTGGCATCGGCCTGGCCAACAAACAGCCAAGCAAACAAACGCGCCAAAACCAAAACCGAACTTCTTTGGAGACCGACTTGTGAGTCACTTGTCGGCATGCGGAAGCTGCCCAGCACGACTCCACCGATTGCAACTCCTACACTTTTAAAAAACGGAATCATTAAATCACCATTCACTTGTTTTTTTTTTTAACAAAGATAGAATTGTTATTTGTAGAAACCACAAATCTAAAAACACACATGACTCTGCTGGATAAAAAAAATGAGCTAAAATATCAGTGTTTTGGCTATCATATTGTAAATAAAGGTCAGAATGAGGAGTGTAATACCTCGTTGAGCTCGGGGTTTAATTTCCAATATATTGGCATTCAAACCTGGAAAGTTTTAATTTTTGCCATTTTTGAAAAAATAACATGATGTTAAAAAATTCGAAATTTGGTGAAAAAATTATTTTTCCAAAAAGTGATGAGGATGGTTAGCATTGGTTGTTGGCTGCTCAAAACAGTCTGTCTTTTTGCTGTTCGCCTTGATTTGATTAAACTACGACTGAAAAACCACCAAAAATATGACATTTTTTGACTAAAATTTAAATTCCTTTTTTCGCCATAAAAAATCAGTGTTTTGGCTGGCATAATGTAAATAATGGTCAGAATGAGGAATGTCATACCTCGTTGAGCTCGTGGTTTAATTTCCATATATTGGCATT